GAGGCATATAGCTTATAATTGTCAAAGAGGGTATCCAAACATGAGTCTGTCTGACAATTGCCAGTCATTCACAGTGTTACTCTTTGAAGCACTCAAGTTTATAGTAAATGAATTGCTGTGCTGTTCATATACACAAAAGCTTAAGGTTAGCAGATAATAAAAGATGGTGTGGATGGAGAGAGGAGTTACAAGTGATACTTGCTAGCATACAAAAATAACAGAAAATGGGCCAAGAGGAGGATTCCTTATAGCCAGGCAGAAATGTCTGTTAGAATATGTAGGAAAGGATCACATCATCATAGAACTTGAGTGAGTATGAGCCTAAGGGAAGATTCGTAGCAGTGATTTTATCAGAAGTGAGTCATCTGACAGTTCTAATCAGAATCATCCACTTTATTATAGCTGAGGTCATCCCTCTGCTTTCTCTGATGTTCCTGTTTCAAGAAGAGGTTGATTCCAGACAAGTGAAACATACCTGAAGATTCTGGTTTGGACATTATAAATGGTCTAACAAGAAAGTGAGCTTTCAGATTTTAGAACTCAGTGATGGTAGTAATGTTAGAAATATTTAACAATCTGTGTTCTTTTATAACAGCGATTTGCAAACTTCCACTATACTAACCCTAAAGGGGAGGAAATTGAAAATGCCCTCAGGAGTCTTGAGACATCACTTGAAGTGATATGGGAGTAATAATTTTTTTAAGTCTCTTGGTTTATATTTAGGGAAAGCTTTTGTTCATTTCCATATCTATTTGTTTTAATGAAAGTTAAATTATTTTACTGATTGTCTCTCTACCCTCACCCTAAATCTTCAAGTACCATTGACAGCCTAGAAAGAGGGTGCTTGTTTTACTCTTAGTAGGCTCCTACCCTTTGGCCTGGAACAGGTACCCCAGTGTGAGAAGTACTGTCTTCCAGGGTTTGTGCTGCCACAAGCATCTGCTGAGGCTTTATAGTTAACACAGGGGGCGACCACATTCTTGTTGACTTTACCACACTTTGTGACTCCCTCACTTTTCATGTTCCTTCTCCCCCCCTCAGGTTCGGATTTGTTGTTTATCAAACTCCCATGATTTCTTTCTTTGACTTGATTGGCATGACTTTTTAAGGGCTTGGTCTCTTGATCTGTCCCTCTAGTTTTATTTTTGGAGTTTCTTTTTTTGTCTTACCAGGGGACTGTAACCAAATATATCTATCTGATTCTAGCAGGTACATATTTTTTCCTCTTGATGCTGCTTAATATTTTATTGGAGGCACAGTTACAGTATGTGTGACCTTACAAATGGCAGGCTTAATGTGGTATTGTTTGTTTTGGGTCTCTTCTGGGGCTGGGTGGTGGTGGCAAATTGTCATTTCTGTCTCTTGGATGGAAGGAAACAAGCTCAGGTCAGCATATAGGAAAACTAGCTTCAGGTTGCAAATGAGTGCCAGCTTATGTATTGTATTTTCTAGTTAACTCCCAGTTGACTTCCAGTTTTTGCTACAGTCTTGAGTAGAGTTCAGTGCTTCCTGGGAATTTAACAGCAGCAAGGGTTTCCTTTGCAAGATATTTTTATACCTAAATCTTACATGAAAAGGGTTGTTTGCTGACTCACTGATTAACTAGACTTGGTTTATGTTAAGCCTTTGAGTCCTTTGTTACGGACATCATTTGTGCCCAAGTTGCTTTCTCCTCCTGAAACCCCATTGCTGACCTGTAACTAGTCTAATCTTGCTTGATTATACATTCCCCCTGCCCACCCCCTGTAAAACCATCTTTTGTACCAAATGCTGTTATATCTTTTGAATGATGTCCACTACAAAAATAGCTTTTTACAAGATCTTGTAGATTTTGAAACTTTTTAACTAACATGTCATTGTATCTTCACAACAATTCTATGAGAGAGGCATTTATAAAATATAAATAACAATCCACCCATGGGGATGGCTGCTATGTATTTCATAAATGAAGAAACAAGAAATGGGTGGACGTGACTTGCAGCTTAGTGGCAAAGCCAGGTTTGACCAGGTCTCTGGGCTTCCAGTCCACCGAAGCTCTAGTAGTGTTCAGAAATATTTTTGGAAGTCTCCAATTTTTCCAAAAGTAGAAAAAATTTATTATGTAGGTTGAGTTGTCTTTAAAGAAGACAGCTCTAAAATATTTCAAGATTGATGGTTTAAAAAAATTGTCTTAAATTCAAGGAAGAAACAGTGGGTTTTTCTGAATATCCTACTAGGACCTGTCCCTATATTAGACAGATTAAAGATGTTTGCTTCCTAAGAACAAAGCAGACTGAATCAGAAAAGAGATCAGTGAGTGGCTAAGTTTTTATTTTTCTCCTTAGTTCTAGGGATAGTATTTTACCCCCTTGAAATATTGTGAGAAGGTCATGGGTAGAAGGATCACACCTGTGGTTCCTAATAGGAATTTCTGTTTCCATGAGGTTTCTCAAAAGTAGAATCGAGGTCCTCTAGCAATCGTAAGAGTTTTTAAACACCTATAGAAATGGTACATTTGCGTAAAGTAAAGCTGTAGAACTTAAAATGTCCAATGTCTTTACTTTTGGCTGGAATTTTACAAGCCTGATTAGAAGCTCTCCATGGCAGCAATGGGCATGTTAATTATATTTGAAAATTGCCGTTTGTAGACAAGGAGTCCATGAGGAGAGAAAATCAAGTGAATGTTCTTGAACTGTACTGCAGTGATGGGGAATGTCCACGAGGTGGCACCAAGATTTTGTTTTAACTGTTGGATTCCTAGCTAGCACCTGAAATACTTGAAGCCCCTTTTACCTTCTCCCTCTTCGCAAACTGTGGCTCAGCTGCATCTGTGCCCTGAATTCTGGTCCCCAGCTTCCCCTGAATCCCCTTAGTGCTGTTATTTGGGCTTTGTATTGGCACCTAACCACATTCTACCTGTAGTGAAAGCTATAGGTCTTGGTTCCCACTCTAGGTGGTAAGTTTCTAGAGTGGAGGCACCAGCTGCGTCTACTTGAAATTATATTCTTTTCTGTGTTTCCAGCAATGCCAGGCACAGGACCTCTGAGTTACATTGTTGAATTAACATCTTTTGGTGATTTGTGAGTTAATTGTGGACTTCCATAGGGTTCTCCCGCAGTATATTTTTTGCTTTGAAGAGTATGTTTATCTTCCCAGGTGCATAAATGAATTTTTGGGGTGAAATGGGGATTTTATGTCTGTAGTTTGTATAGTTTCATAGACTTTACACCACACCCTGACGAACCACTTTCAGTAACTTTGAAGACAGTTGGTTATGGAAATCATTCCCGTGCATGGGTCTTCCCTGAAGCTCTGCAGTTGGTCTTGGCAGTGGGACCTTCATGTGTGACAGACAGCAGATGGTCATGGAGTCCCCAGTCTGTGTGCCATGTAGGTAGGAGCTTGAAAAAAGCCGAAAAGAAACTTCCTTGGTAACTGTCGTGTCTCTGCCTTATTTGGGCTCCCAAGAAGGAATCTTGCTGCAGGCAGAGCTGTCTGATCGGGAAAGAAAACTGACTCTTACCAGGGAAGGGCCCGGGAGGGGCAGTAATACCAATGAGCATATTTTAGTTGGTTTATGTCAGTTATTGGGGACCATTAAGTAAATAGATGTTGAGTATTTTCTTTTTCAAAAAAGGCTTTTTGTTTTGTTTTGTTTTGAGATGGAGTTTCACTCTTGTTGCCCAGGCTGGAGTGCAGTGTTACAATCGCGGCTCACTGCAACCTCTACCTCCTGGGTTCAAGCGATTCTCTTGCCTCAGCCTCCCGAGTAGCTGGGATTACAGGTATGCGCCACCATGCCCAGCTAATTTTGTGTTTTTAGTAGAGACGGGGTTTCTCCATGTTGGTCAGGCTGGTTTCAAACTCCCGACCTCAGGGGATCTGCCTGCCTCGGCCTCCCAAAGTGCTGGGATTACAGACGTGAGCCACCGCACCCAGCCGAGATGCCAATTGGAAGGAAATTTGAAAAGGTTTGGTAATAATGTTATTTCATTAATTTCAGCCAAACCACACAACTAATTTATCTTATCTAGGCCTGACCCTGGCTCTGGCTTCTTCATTGTGTGGATACCTTTCCAAAGTGTTTGACATGACAACATATTTAGAAGTTCTTTGATCACAAGCCCAAGGATGTGCAAAACTCAGAGCAAACAGCATTTACATTTATGTAATTTAATTTTAAAAATTAGCCCTAATTGAAGTGATCCTGGAGATGGTAATGTTGACTTGACACCTGGCTGCTTCTCTAAGGGCTATTTAGTTCTCTAGTGAATTTCATAAACTAAGGCTATGTTTTTATTTCTAGAGCTGGGAGTACCCAAGCTAGCAGTTTTGACCTTTGAATGTTTGGAGCACCAGAAGTTCTGATTATGAGATGAAGAGAAAATGACAGCTTTTCTTGTCTATTAAAAAACCAGGACTCACTCATGGCATTCCTTTGTCCTTTGTCCTACAAGCAGAATGGAGACTGTGACCCCTGATCTTTGGGTTGGCATTATTTTATTTTTCGAGATGGAGTCTTGCTCCGTCAGCCAGGCTGGAGTGCAGTGGTGCAATCTCGGCTCACTCCAACCTCCCCCTCCTGGGTTCAAGCAATTCTCCTGCTTTAGCCTCCCAAGTAGCTGGCATTACAGGTGCCTGCCACCACGCCCAGCTAATTTTTGTGTTTCTTTTTCAGTAGAGATGGGCTTTCACCATGTTGGCCAGGCTGGTCTTGAACTCCTGACCTCAAGTGATCCGCCCGCCTTGGCCTCCCAAAGTGCTGGGATTACAGGTATGAGCCACCGTGCCTCACCTGGGGTTATATTATTTTAAAGAATGTGATCAGAATTGACCTGTTAGATACTCATCTTCTATGTGAATCTCTGTATCAGTTTATTATTTTTGGCAGTTGAATGTAAATTCATTAGAACAGAGTGGGATGGCTTATATTTCAGCAATGCGTTAAATAAGTTTTTCCGAAAAAATTTGCGAACTGTTAGCACAAATTGGCATCACTAATATGGCTGCTTTGTTTTTAGGTGATTGGCGAGGACAACGTGGCAGTCCCTTCACACCTTTACAAGGTAATCCTGGCCCGCAGAAGCTCAGTATCTACCGAACCACTGGCACTAGGGGCCTTTGTGGTACCTAATGAAGCCATCGGCTTCCAGCCCCAGTTAACCGAATTCCAAGTGAGCCTCCAGGAGCTAGAGAAGGTGTCAGGACTGGTGTTTTTCCTCATTTGGATAGAACTAGAGATATCCGGAATATCTGCTCTGTGTCAGGACTGGTGTTTTCCTCGTTTGGATAAAGTTCAAAGATATCCGGGAATATCTGCTCTGTGTCGGGACTGTGGTGTTTTCCTCGTTTGGATGAGCTAGAGAATATCCAGGTCTCTACTCATGTCAGACAAGTATTTCCTCATTGGATAGAACTAGAGACATCGAATATCTGCTCTATGTCCAGGACTAGTATTTCCCTCATTAGATGGGAAACAAAGAACATCTGATATCTACTCTATGTCAGGACTGGTGTTTTTCCTCGTGTGGATAGAACCAAGACATCCGGGAATATCTGCTCTGTGTCAGGACTGGTGTCTTTCCTCATTGGCTAGAACTGAGACATCCGAGATATCTGCTCTGTGTCAGGACTGGTGTCTTTCCTCGTTGGATAGGGAACTAGAGACATCCGGAATATCTGCTCTGTGTAGGACTGGTGTCTTTCCTGGGTGGCTAGAACTGAGACATCCAGAATATCTGCTCTGTGTCAGGACTGAGTGTCTCTCGTTGGCTAGAACTAGAGACATCCGGAATATCTGCTCTGTGTCAAGTTGGTGTTTTTCCTCATTGGATAGAACTAGAGACATCCGGAATATCTGCTCTGTGTCAGGACTGGTGTTTTTCCTCATTGGATAGAACTAGAGACATCCGGAATATCTGCTCTGTGTCAGGACTGGTGTTTTTCCTCGTTGGCTAGAACTAGAGACATCTGGAATATCTGCTCTGTGTCAGGACTGGTGTCTTTCCTCGTTGGCTAGAACTAGAGAACATCCGAATATCTCTCTGTGGACACTAGAACTAGAGACATCTGGAATATCTGCTCTGTGTCAGGACTGGTGTCTTTCCTCGTTGGCTAGAACTAGAGACATCCGGAATATCTGCTCTGTGGACACCTGTAAGCTTCTGGATTTCCGGAGTTCACCTTGTACCTGAGTACAGGGAAGATTGAAGGAGCCCGATCAGTGCTCAGGCTGGAGAAGGTCATGGAAAACTTGAAGAATTGCAGGAATTGAACCAGATGGTTACTTCGTGAGTCGCTATGAGAAGAAGCTAGAAGAACTCAAAGCTAAGGAGCAGTCAGGAACCTAGACAAGAAAGCCATCCTTGTTTTTATCTCAAGATGTGTCATACCGTCTGTAATGAAGCAGGCACGCCCTCTTTAGGCTAACATAGTTTAGTGGCTTTGCTTTTTGCTTTTTAAAAAATCTTTCTCTTTAAGAGATGTCTCTCTATGTCATCCAGGCTGGAGTGCAGTGGTGGAATCATAGCTCACTATAGACTCGAGCTTCTGGGCTTCAGCAATCCTCCTGCCTCTGCCCCCGAGCAGCTGAGACTACAGGCACACACCATCACCCTCAGCTACGAGTGGCTTTGCTTTAAAGAAACAAATGGAATCCTAAATTTACGACTAAAAATTCTCCCAAGAGATGAAAGATCTACAATGTTTTAGTCAGTATTATATTTGACTCAGGAACTAATTATTAAGGGAGCTTTGACACCTGCAGATGGAGGACTGATCTTGTGTCAAGTTGACAGGAACACTGCCCACAGATGACACTGCATTTGTATCCCGCTGGATGTAGAGTATTGGGAAGGCATTTGTTCAGTTTCATACCTCCAAACCATGCATTGTCTTCGATGTATCTGCCCAGCCTTCTCAGAACTCAGTGTTGTACATTTTTCCCCCTAGGACCTGAATTGGTCTTGGAGGTGGCTTTTAGAAATCATCTATGTAGTTCCTGTCCACATGGCACTGTATATTTGTTTCTTCTTTCTCCTCTCATGAATCTGCTCTTTTTTCTACTTCGGTCTATGTAGAAGTACTCAGCAACTAGTTTCTGCTGACTAGATTTGTTTTATATACTGGGCTCAGTGCTTTACATGTGTTGTCTCACAATGACCCTCTGAGGTAAATACCACTATCCCCATTTTACCTGAGAGAAAATTGACGCTTAGAGAGCTTAGTGTCTTACCCGAGTTTCACTTTTCCAAAGTAGTCATCCACAAAGTATGAGGCAGACAGATCTAAGCGAAGAAAGACAGCTAAGGTAGATTCAGATTTTTTCTGACATGGATGGTGGCTTTTTACTCAGAAATATATACCTATTTCCATGAGTATTTGTGGGCCCAAGGCATGCTTGGTGAGAAGAGTCTGGTTTCTCATCTGCTATGCAAGCCAAAGGGACTTTATTGTTCTTTGAACTGAGCCCTCCTTAGCTCTTTGGAAAGAGACAGTCAGGAGTATTTGGGAATTAGAGGGCAATATTTTGTGGGGTTTATTAGAGCCCATGCTTGCTTCCAGAGATGCAGTTCTTTTAGTGAGCAGATACTGCCAAATTGATGTGTTCTTGCTTTCCAGGTGAGCTTTTTGTTCTTAAGATTAAGAAACCTAAGAAGGGTCTATGACCAGGCATGGTGGCTCAGGCCCGTAACCTCAGCACTTTGGGAAATCGAGGTGGGTGGATTGCTTGAGCCCAGGAGTTTGAGACTAGCCTGAGCAATATAATGAAACCCTGTCTTTTAAAAAAAATACAAAAATTAGCTGGGCGTGGTGGTGCACACCTGTAGTCCCAGCTACCCGGGAGACTGAGATGGGAGGATTGCTTGAGCCTGGCAGGTCGAGGCTGCGATGGGGACATAGTCACGCCACTGGACTCTAGCCTGGGCGACAGAGTGAGACCCTGTCTCAAAAAAAAAAAAAAAAGAAGAAGAAGAAGAAAAAGAAAAAAGAGAAAGATCTGTCCACAAAATCACCAGCTTATTATTTGCTTCCTCTGTGCCTGCTTGTCTAGCATAGTGGGCCAAAGGTCCAAAGGCATTTAGCGTTCCTGAGGGAAATTGTGGCTGTTTTTCTGAGCCAGATCTCTTGATTTGGGTTTACCTGGAGTCCTTTCATGAACTGTCCTGAGCATTGTCAGTAAAATGTCTTGGGGCATAAAAGCTTGTCTGAATCTGTCATGCATAGCACTGCTGTCTTCCGAGTGGTATTACAAGAAAGATTATTGTGGTGTGTTTGTTCTAAGAGAAGTGCCAAGGCTTTAAGATAAAGATAAGATAATAATGATTGACCTTGTTCTGCTCTTTTATTTGGGTAAAGAAGAAAAGTTGAGGGGTCAGAACACAGTAGCCTGATTCGTACCATTCTGTTTTATCACACTGTTCCCCATTAGCTTGTGCCAGTTCTCCTCTTCTCAGGGATGTAGAGCCAAAATGTCACTGTGACCAAACAATCTATTATTTTTTCTCCTCAATGGAGAGGTGATGGTGTGGCCTGGGTGTTTCTCCAGGAGTGTAAGTGGGCAGCTCTGTGGGATAAGTCCTAGGTACCTACTGCCCATCTCTAGAGGTGGGCCCCCAACTCCCTTCCCCTGTTGCTATGCTCTGTTCTGCCGACCTGCATTGCCAGCAGCCTTGGAGTGAGTTCTCATGCTCTTCTTGCTCCTGCCTCTTCACCTAGATGGTAGAATCTCTAATTTTAGATCAATAAAGTTTTTTTTCCCCCGGCGCGTTCCTGAGTTTATTTGGGGCACACCCAAGCGAAGGCCTTGCACCTAGAAGAAGGTGTTGGGTCTCTTGGTGGCGAAGCATGGCTTGTGCTGATAGTGTAGGACCCAGTGGGGCAACAGGAACTTGATCTTGGAGTCATGGAACTGCTTGACAGCTGGCCGGTGGCACTTGCTGGCTGCAGTCTCCTCCACCTTCATGGTCTGGATGGAGTGGGCCTGGGCATGGTGCCAGGCGCCCATGTCTCGGTAGCAATGGGTGACGGCACCTGCAGTGGTCAGGTCCCTATATTCCTGGCACATGTTGTGGGTGCTGCTCAGGGTGTCATAGCGCAGCCAGATGCCGAAGTTCTTCACCCACAGGGGGCATTTCTCAAACACCTGCCCACAGTAACAATCTACCCTGAAGACTTCATCTTTAACTGAGGTACCAAGTACCAGAAGCAGGACTTGGCAATGACATGATTAGATGCAAAGATTTGCATGTGATAGAGGGTTGGTGTGTGGCATTTGGGGGTGGGCAGGCAGCGACCCACCACCTTGTACTCTCATAGTGTGCCCGAGGCCTTCATGGCATCCTCTCCACCCTCGCCGCCACCTGCAAAAGGACAGATCAATAGAGTTTCTTAGGTTTTTATTTATTTTGAAAGATGTTGCCTGGTCATTGTGAAAAATGGAGGTAAGAGCTTGTAATACAAAGTTACAGTCTGCCAGTCCTCATTTTTATTTATATTTATTTATTTATGTGATTCACGAATCCGGCAGCCTTTGGAAAAGTTTGTTAGTGTGTTACATTGGTGTTTGAATTGTCTCAACGCTTTCATTAAGAGTTCCCCCAAACAAACTTGAAATGTAAATAATTGGTTAGAGGTTAGCATTTTCCTCCTGTCATACTGCTTCAGCCCTCAGTGTGACTGTTGATCATCCTGGACTCAAATGCAGCATAGGCTGAGCCTGAGATTCTGCCTGTCTGTTCTCTTTTCCCTCAGACAGTCCCTGGTCTGAGGGAAAGCAGCTGCGGAGGAAGTGCAGTCCGGACAGGCTCTTCTGCTGGAAACCTACATCCCAAGTTTCTCTCCGCCCTCAGTTATATCTTTATTGTGAAATTCCAAACTCTTTGGTCTCTGAATTAAGGCTCTTGCACCAATATTGTTGTGTGTAGCAATACAACAAATTGCAAAGGTTAGGAGAATGGATGTCAGCCCTTAATTAAATACCTGTGAATATTTCTGCCCCTTGCACCTTGACCTTCAAGCAACGGAAAACTGTCTTTCCTTCAGACCTTTGATTAGAGTTCTAGGCTGAGTTCTATACTTGGAATGACTCTGAGTGTTACCATGTCACCTACCTGTGTCCCCTGGCCTCATCCTCATGAGTACATAAGTGTCATTGATATCACCTCCATGAATTGCAAACTTCCCATTAGCAGCCCATCCCTGAACCTAACCCTGCACCCAGGGTGCTGTTTGTTCCCTGCCTGCCCCTTCATACCTTCACCCCGTGTGTCCTTCCCCATCCTGGCACACCTCCATGTGCCTCCTGTATCCTCACTATAGTTCATTCTGGTGGATTTGGTCAGGGCTGGGCTCACATCAGGCT